TGTTTAAAATGTTTTAAATTACCATTTATGGAGTGTTCCAGGAGTAGCAATTCAGCTTTTCTATCTGACACCCTTCCCCTTTGAGAGGGACCAAAAAAAATATCCTTGGTGACAAGACACAATTTATTTTCCACCTGTGATTTGTGTGAACCATGAACAAGCAGTGGCTCACAAATCTGGTTTGCTGAAGAACAGAAACAAGCCACAGCTCCTGCTTTATGCACCACACTAAACAAATCATGAAAAAAGTCCATGATTCAGTTATTCACTCTGCTTTGCAGGAGGAGTTATTTGGGAGTTTTTGAGCAGTGGGCATCAGTATGCTGACTCATTCATAATAAACCAGATTTTTGAAGAGCTCTAATTTATTGGAATGTCTGAATATGCTCTACACACACACACACACACACACACACACAAATCGACTTTACTCACATGCTCAAAAGAGCAACTTAATACTGCATAGGTTCATTTTTTAAAGTACTGTATTAAATCACACACACCCCAGAAGACTCTGTTAATTTTCTGTTACTTTAGAAAATGTCCTATATTCTGGAGTGCCAGGTTTCCATGAACCACTCTTAAACTGAACATTGCATTTCATCCTAGATTTCCATGGTAGAAGACAACTTTGCTTGAAGACTTTGAAACATGCTGCTTTGGATGCATAATGGGATACTTATAGTCATGAATAAAAAAATTCTCTAGCATGGGATTCTGTCTTGCAATAGCAGCAAATATCTGTCACATACTGTTCACCTCATATGGGTTTTACAAATCAATAGTGTCAAAAAACACTCCAATGTTAGTCCATCTGAAGCAGAAAAAAGAATGACTGATCAGTCCTAGTAATGAGATCTTATTTTATTACAAAACTAATCTGTGGGAATATAAAGTATGATTGCTCTTTTCTTAATCATTAAAATATATGATTTGAATGAATCTCTCTAGATCTATTCAGAAAAGAATTAATCTGAATTCACCAGAAAAAACAATATTCTAGCCCACCATACCCTCTTGTACTAAGAATGGCTCTAATATTATGTGGAATATTGTTACATAACTGGAGACCCCAAGAACTTATAGGAAGGGTCCAGGAATGCAAAATGGCAAAAAGTCATTTCCCAATAATGCAGGCGAGGCCATCTACCATCCATGCTTGGACTGTATAGAGATAGAGTCTTCCAGAGCTTACAGAAGTCCCAGAATACCCCAGATAGCATGGCTACTTTCTCAGGTTACAACACCCAGGCCCCTCTGGCAGTGGCCATGCTGGCTGAGCAATTTTGGGGGCTACAGTCTGACCTCCCACACCTTTTCCAAACTCTAGGGCCTTGTCAACTGGAGGAAAGGGCTTGATTCACAACTGTGTTCTAAAGGACTAGAAATAAATACCGTATTTTTCATTCCATAAGACGCACTTTTTTGCCCCCAAAAAGTGGGAGGAAAAGTCTGTGCATCTTACAGAACGAATACTGTAAAAACAGAACGAATACTGTAAAAATACTGTAAAAAAGTTGTCAGTCTGATAATTACATCTTTTTTACAACGCTGATCTGGATGCTGCCTCAAGCTGCTGGGACTAGGCAAAATGGTGGTGGGTTAACAGACCCCCCCCCGAGCCCATGCCACTGTCATACCCAGCTGGGCTCTGTACTCATTAGTAGTGCTGGTACTACAGGGCATCCATAGCAGCCCTGTAGGACTAACGTCACTTAGTGGACAGCTGGATCACGTGACCAGCCAGACACTGGGGGGAAGCAGAGAGAGAGAGGAGTGCGCCACGGAGGAAGGGAGAAGACTTGTTCAGGTACACACATACCATAATACAGAGGAATTTCTGGCTGGGATACTGGCTGATGACATTAAGGGACACATATGGATGGCAGTATCAATTAAGGAGCACAACATGGGTGACAATATCAATTAAAAATGAGATGAGTCTTATGGTAAGATGCACCTTATGGAGTGAAAAATACGGTATACAAAACAGAGGAGTGTTCTGGCCCCATTCCATGTATCTTAACTTCTCCTCAAATGAAAAGAGCCAACTTGAAGCAAAGAATTTCCTGTGTCCATGGACTTTGTGACTTGATTTTGAATGCCCATTCTCCAGGTTTCATAACTTTGTGGAGAACCTCCAAGTTCGTAGAAAAGCTCTCTAATGCAGGCTGCCACTCTCTGCCTAAGGAGGAAGGGCTGAACATACTGCCTCTGCCCTGTATGTGTGTGTACTTGTAGTTGTTCAGAAGAACATCTGGATAAGATTCCAAATGACATTCAAATATGATCATGGTAAAATGTCCACATCCACAGTGTAGAAATCATATTAAAGCATCTAGGCATTTAGATTGGGGGAATTTAAAACCTAGCAGTATAGAGGATAAAAAGCTGTTCAGTGTACCTTCCAAAAGGCCAAAATTTAATGCCTCTCCATCATGTCTTAGGGCAGAAGCAGTGAACTGTATTGAGGACTTGGTGCATATCTTATTGTAGACCAAGGGACAAAGGTTTTGTGAATACCACAAAAAACACAGTCAGTGTGGTGTACTGCATCACAAGTTAGGTGAAAGCTACTGTTTGGGGGGAAAGCTACTGCATCTGCTGGCAGAAAGGTATTTTGGAGACAAACATGCTTATGGACTGAAGCTGCAAATGTCACAGGTTTTATTACATTTGTGACTGATACAGAAGTCCAATTATTGCTGGCATTTGGGGTTTAGGGTTGAAATCTTGCAAAGGTCAGTATGAACAGTGAAGTAATGCTCCCTGGGATCATTTCTTAAGAGGAAAACTGAGAGGGAATGCCTCTGGGCATAGAATAGTTTAAGGCAGCTGAACTATGTATTAGTTAGCAAAACCTAGGGAAAAAAAGTGACTGGGGACAATCTTTGACAAATGTTGCAATTATTGCATGATTTGAAAAAGTGATAAAATATACATGTTGGGAAAATGGGTGGGTCTTCGAAAGATCACTGTGAGTAGAGAAATCAGCTTTTATGATCTGCTATATTTTACAGTTAAATTGTAATGCTTCTTACTCAATATTTAAATACCATATTAACTGCATTAGGAGGAAGAAATACATCTAAGCACACCCAAGGGCTTGAGTGTGCCTGGTACAATTTATTTTTCCTTTGAAAGGCAGAACTACACCCACAAATACTCTTCCAGTATTCATATTCAAAAATTAATTGCATGAATGGAATTCGGCACAGGACTCTTTGGATCTAAGCCAAAACTAGTTCCAAAAATTTTCAAAGCACTAAAGAGACAAAAACTAGTAAATTTTTCAAAACATCTTGCTTTTTATTTGCAGCGATCCATTCTGTGTCGTTTCTTTCCCTTCTGTACTTAAAAACAGAACCAAGGGTTAAGCTAGTATTTAAACATGAAATGTGGAAATTGGTCCTGGAATGTCCACTCTACATTTCATAGTAATGTCACAGTTTTTAAGGCAAACACTTGAGTTTTATGTGTTGGCTCTAGACCAGAAACCATGGTTTGGTATTAAATTTCTATGCATTCCTAATGTTGTTGTTATGTGCCATCAAATCATCCAACTCATGGCAACCTTATGAATGGCGACCAGTAGGTCCTGTCTTCAACTGCTCTCCTCAGCTCTTTTAAATTCAAGCCCATGGCTTCCCTTAGGTCCATCTCATATTCGTTTTCCTCTTTTTCTTGCTGCCTTCCACCTTCCCCAGCATTGTCTTTTCCAATCCTCCCTTCTCATGTGCCCAAAGTAGGGCACAGAGTTGGCCTTTTTGCCTCTCGAGAAATAGTTCAGACTTTTTCATAATAACTGCACTGGCCTTGGGTGAATGGGCCAGTGCCACTGGTGTCCGCATAAGTAACAGCAGTTTGTGAAGATTAAATATGATTATAATGGTCATTGTCAATTAAGGGAGAAGTGTCAGGATGAAGAAAATGCAAGTTAACTTAACAATATTATGGATGCAAGAATCAAACTAGGAGGCAGGGAACAATCCCCTCAAAAATAACAGCAAGAATTACACTGGCTTGAGAGGTGGAAATATTGGCAACAAATACATGGGGAATCCTGGGAGAACCACATCTTGCCCACAGTCCGCACTTTCCCTGTGTTAAGGCATAACAGGGCATGCCAGCAGACAAAAGTACAACTCTGAAGGAAGAGCAACAAAGTGTCTTGCTGAATATTAAAAACTAGTAAATATATTATAGTTTAAACCAATCTTAGGGAGTATTAAGGGCACCCAACAGCCATTTGTGAAAAACAATGAGTTCATCTCTCTCCCTATATGCAGAATATAATATAAACAATATTTCTGAAGAATGAAAATCCCTAATATATATCCAAATAATTTACACTGTCCAACTTGGTGTTTGACTGATGCTTTGCTTCTAGGACTGTACTTTATAACACCATTCTTTTTATAGTAGAAATGCTACAATTCTATGTACTAGAAAGAAAGAAAGAAAGAAAGAAAGAAAGAAAGAAAGAAAGAAAGAAAGAAAGAAAGAAAGAAAGAGAACAAAAGAATGAAGTTGCATCTAGTTGTCAAGATGAAGAGTCAAGAAACCATAATGTAATCAGAGTCTTGTGGGATAATATGAAATTAAAAAAAACCCAGAGTCCTTTCATACATGGTTCATGTGATTTTAAAGAAATATAAGGTCATATGTTAGGGAATACCTCAGAGCATGCAGAATATATGGTTAATGTAAGCAACATTTTGAATAAAGAAAAATAGATAGGTGAGCAAGTCGGTGTCACTAAAAAGCATTTCAATTTTTTATTAAAAGCTATGGAACGGAGATGGTGCTAAATATCCATGTCTGATATCAGTCATGGAAGACTATACCAAGACATGTACAAGGCCACACAGTTGAGTTATCTTCTGAGTTCAGGTTTCCCATATTCTCAACCTAGGTGCTAAAACATATTGACTCCTGCTTTGCCAGCTCTTCCTGTCTCTTTGGAATGCTAATCTATACTTCCAACATCTAAAAAATACCTGGAAGTTCTTCATAAATTTCATCATCTATTGGTTCTGCTCTTGTATACTGAGGAGGCATGACAGCTTCCCCAATGTCATCGTAGTCTTCCTCCTCTTCAGGAATAGCTGCACATTCAATGTCTGTTAAGAGGAATATAAGAAGAGTTGTACAAGAGGTATTGAGGTCATACAACCCAAGCAAGCTCAGCTTATTCCAATGTATGTTTACTTAGAAGTATGTCCATATGAGTGCAATGGGACTTGCTCCTAAGCATAAAAAGGATTGCTTAATCTTAATTTAAAAATACCACAACATATTGTAAAAGCTGCACAGTGAAGCCCTAAAATCAATACATGAAAAACTGTTAAGACTTAAAAACAAAGAGTCTTGTGGGTATCATCATCACCATCATCATCACCATCATTCGTAGGGACTGCCTATGCTATATCTTCAGAAGACTACAGTCCACGAAAGCTTTTAAGCCTTTAAGGTCCAATAATATTTTTATTTATGCCACAGACTAAAATGACAGCTCCCATGGTTAAAAAGCAATAAGCATTTTATCTGTAGCATGCACTGTATAAACAAAGATTGTTTTCATCAATATGCATACCTTGTAGTACAAATCTGAGGCTCTGTACCCATTCCTCAGCTTCCTTGGGAGTGGCAGCTGTAAACTGTTCAGAAACTTGGTTTTATTGAGCATAATCATGAACATAAAAATAATGCCAGCACCATAACCGTAATAAAAAGAAAGTAGCATTCCTGTCACTTCTTCACAGTGCCATTAGCAATTCTTCACATGTCTTCTGGTACTTTTCTTGCAAGGATGCTTCTTATAATGTACAGTTAATTTTGACAAATTTACGTAATTGAAGCAGAGGATGATGGATTTGGAACTCTGATCAGCAGCTGGCAGCTGTGCAGGAAAAAAAGCTGCTTCTCTTCATCAATGTCAAGAACAGGACTGATGAACAAAATTCGCCCTTGACAATTAGAAGACACCCATGAATTTCTTTAGACTGCTGGTACGGTTTTCTTAAAAATGTTCTTGTCAGATTCCAACACGGTACCTGACAACTTAATTAACTGGCTTTCAACTGCAATCTCAGATATTTAAAACTTATTAAAGTTACATTCCGCTTTGATGCCTAGCTGATAGATCTTGAATTGCATAGCTGATATGTGCTTTTTAAACTTTGAGATCCCTCATAGACCTCTAAGCAATACAATACATATTTAACATTTTGGGTTTAAAAAAAACCTACATATAAATCCAATTATTTTACAATATTATTCATCTAAGAAATCAGGCAGACCCATTAGATAACAGATATTTAAATATAAGCAGTGAAATGGACAAAAAGATAAAAATGACATATTGGTTGTTCTTATCCAAAAAGATAGAATTAGAACTTAATCTGGTCCCCCCTCCCCACAAAAAAAATCTATTATATGAATGTACATGTTAAGCAAATAAAGAGGTTTTCCTCACCCCCTTCTCTGGCATATCAGGGGTTGTTTTATTGAAATGTTAATGTCTCCATAACTGGAACAGTAACAGTTTTATCAATTTAATTTCAAGACGACATAAAAAGTCCAACCTGATAAATGCGTTTATCAGGAGCAGCGATTTCAAAACAGCAATCTTTCTTTCCATCCTTCCGAAGGGTATTATTCATTCTGACGGTGTAGCCATCCATAGCAAATTCACCTTTCTGTTGTTTGTCTGTTGCAGATAAAAAGCAAAGATAGAACTTCATTTGCAAGGCTGAACGTGAATGGCCCAGTGGGTTATCATTTATTCAGATTTCATTCTTTCCATTTCATGAATATTCGAGAGAACGGGTTAGACATTATTAGCTGAACGGTTTAGATGATGTTTTGGAGATAAAACTCTCCTTTTAAAAAGGGACAAACAAAGCAAATTCCTATGAAGGCTGCCTAGGGACTTCCAGAGGGAATGCTTGCAGATGGCCTTACTAAGCAAGATGTGCATGCACTGATGCCCATACCTGGGGGAGAATCAAGAACTGGAACCCGGAACTTGCAAGACAAGTGTACCATAAATCAGTGTGTCTCTCTCTGCTTCAGTAAGCTCTAGGAAAATCTGCTTGCTCTTTCTGCTACGTCTGCCCCCTGTCCATCTCCAAAAAACAAAGTGCAGCAGTTGCTGGGAAAAGATGAACGAAATGGTGGAATTAAATGGAAACTATGTCCTACTTTTCTCCCAGTACAAGTATCGGATGCAACTTACAAAATCCTTAAAAACAGATATGGGTAAAAATATAGTAAGTTATAATATTGATGTTCAATAAGACATTATCCTACTAAAATATTTTAAAATAATTTACAAGCACATAATAGAAAAGAAGTAAAGGATAACCAATGTGATGCAACAGACAGAGTGATGGACTAGGACTAAGGAGGCCTGGGTTCAGATCCATGCTCAGCGATGGAAACTCATATGAAGCCACTCCTTAAATCTCTCACTTGCCTTGAAAACACTATTAGGGTCGCTGTAAGTCAGTTCCAATTTGACAGCGTGCGCACGCACACACACCAATAGAGAAAGCAAATGTAAAAGTGGGGTCCCCCCACAAAAACTGTGTCACTGTAAGTCAGTTCCAACTTGAAAGCGTGCACACGCACACGCACACACACTAATAGAGAAAGTAAATGTAAAAGTGGGGTCCCCCCCACAAACACTGCTCTTTTCAGCCCAATCAGTTACCAAAGGTATGCCTGAAGAAAAAAGTCTTTGGTTCTTTCAAACAAAATTACAAAACTGAAACGTAGTCTCCCTCGACAGGGAGTTCCACAGCCTGGGAGCAGCCACTGCAAAGGCCTTTCCCAGCATGCTTGCAAATGAGCTGTGAGAATAGAGGGATCCAGAGAAGTGCTTCCTCTGAATATCTTAAAACCCAAGGCGGCTCACATGGTTTATCATTCACATTATATCATTTCTGTGCAAGCAAATTAACAACCGAGGGGCAAATACAGATTGCTTTAAAAAGGCCCTTTTAGAACTAGATCAAGAATAACTGAATAGTACCTGAGCAAATTGAAAAAAAACATACTTTTTATACAGTAACTCTCACTCTATTTCTTTTATGTTTAAAAGATGTGGCTAGGCCCATAGGGCCGTGCAGCACTGGATTGTGGCTGCCCATTTGCTTCTGGTCGCAGCTGGAACCCCACACACATGTGGCAGGGCTCCCACACAGCACGCTGGAAAATTAGAGAGAACATTGGGATGCACCCTCACAAAACTAAATCCCAAAGTTTGGTGATCTAAAATTATCTTTCTTCAGTGTACAATCCTGCCACCAGACAGTTCAATTTACTATTCTTCCAGGCCCACAAAAACTACATGTCAAGCTAGTTTGCTACCCCTCCTTGCAAAATATGTTTTGTGACATCTGGCTTGATGGAGAAATCTGGAGATCTTGGAAGTTTATACAGTACTCATTTTTCTGCCACTTAGGTTGGTATAATTAAAAGCATATGAAGACTGGTGCTGGATTAGTTTACAGATTTATCAACTTCGGCCTTCTGCTCAACCTATTGCTTAAGAGAAACCAGCCAATAAGCCATAGGTGCAATAACAGCACCTTCTTGCTTGTGATCTTTGCAACTCATATACAGAAGCATCTTGTCTATGCTACTGAACAGATGATTAGCATGCATCTATTGTGACAGGTGGATACCGACTGTCCCATTCTTCATTAATTCACTCCATCCCCTAACATGGTAACTATGACTCCATTTTATGAAAGCGAATTCCACAGAATAGGTATCGACAGTTGAAGAAATACAATATGTTGTCTGTCTTAAATTTCCCACCATCACTTTCAATGGATGACCACAGGTTCTAGAAATTCTTCATCCATACAGGTGTTACATTAGCCTTGCGTGTTGTCATTTTTTACTTCAAACATTCAAAAAAATGATTTTGTTCCAGTAAGCAAACATCTGCCAATCACACTTGGTCACTAAAAATGAAATGTATAGCAGCCAACAGCCACAGCAATAATTTATTGCAAACAAGGGCATAAAAATCACTATTAATATTTTTACAATGATATTTGAAAATGGATTTCACAACCATATAGACTTTTTAACAAAATACATAATGAAACTGTTTTAGGAATTCATTTTCAAGTTGCATATCACTGCAGCTGAGCTGAGAATCACTCAGAATCTGGAAAACAGTTTAACAGTTTCTTGTAATATGTATTATATGCAGACTCAACTTCCTTGAATTGAAGGAGAACTCTGAAATATGTTTAACTTTTACAGCACCATTTTCTGCTTCAAGTGCAGTCAAAACAGGAAAGAGTGTAATGTAAAGGTTCTCAGCAACACAGCATTTCTCTTCCCAGTAACACAGCATTAATTTCTACATCTGACATTTGGATGACTCCAGATGAAGTCCTATGGTGAGTAGAGCCACTGGAATCAATGAGACAAATGAATGATTACTAACTTAAATCCTGTTGATTTAAATTGGTCACATCAAAGCATGACTAAGCCTACCTCCGACCCAATGTGTACTTGTTGATTTTAATGCTTATTTAACTCCATTATCTACTAGTGGTAACAGTTATCCTATAATGCAGTGATAAATTCTCAAACCAGTGTTTCAGCTTTATAAGTGTTTCAGCTTTTATAAAGAAGCTTTATAAAAGATGGAGAAAAATCTTAGCAGCTCACTGTCAGAAGAACACTCTTCTTGTGACTCAGCCATGCACTGTCAACATTGTGACCCCATAGAGTGCCTCCACAGACCTACAAGAACAAAGTCTAAAATGTTCAGGCTTGAATAGCATTAAATAGTGAAGGAGGTAATGATAATCTCCTACCCCTCTGCCTGTTTTTCCTTTTCTTTCCTCTCCTTCCACCCAATTGTTCCCACTGGCAATGTTCCCTCACAGAATTATTACCAGCAGCTGTCTATACCTAGATCAACAAACACATTTAAAATATAACCCTCATAAGCACTATATGGGCTTCAGAAGTGCAGTACTGTAAAGTCTGAATACACAACTTTCTCAGTGTCCTTCCTAAAAAATCCAGATGATTTTTGAAACTAGAACACAGAAAAAGAAGACTGAACCATGTACACCACTCTCTGTTTCCCTTCTCTTCAGTGCAGACCTGACATGCAGCTCTCTCATTCTTCAGAATGGGGAAAGAAGGGAAGAATAATTACCATACTATGCCACTCGTACTCATGGCAAGGAGAATATGTTTGGTTGTTCACAGGTAAATGTTATCAGCTCCTCATCACTCACAGGCCAAAAGAAAGTAACTCAAAACCAAAACTTGGATGTAAGGTAAAGGTAAAGGTTCCCCTTGACAATTTTTGTCCAGTCGTGTCCGACTCTAGGGGGCGGCGCTCATCCCGCTCTTCAAGCCATAGAGCCAGCGTTTGTCCGAAGACAATCTTCCGTGGTCACATGGCCAGTGTGATTTAGACACGGAACGCTGTTTACCTTCCCTCCGAGATGGTACCCATTTATCTACTCGCATTTGCATGCTTTCGAACCGCTAGGTTGGCGGGAGCTAGGACAAGCAACGGGCGCTCACTCCGTCGCGTGGATTCGATCTTATGACTGCTTGGTCTTCTGCAGCACAGGCTTCTGCGGTTTAGCCCACAGCGCCATCACGCCACCAGATGTAACTTATTAAAATTAATGTTATCCTTAATTCATTACAAATATTAAATTATAATTATAGGCGAGCCTTTCATTTTTAAACAAAAACCCCAAACACCCTTTTAGTGCTTTATCTTTCACCTTTTATCTATCAAGGGGCCTCAGAAATTTTTCATTCAATAGTGTAATCTTCAGCCATGGTTCTGGCCCTTCAATTTTACAAAGAAACTTATAAATGTTGTCTTTCAAATTTTTCTCATTCTAAGTACTCTTCTTCTGATGTTCTAAAGCAGTGGGCCTCCAAGGTGTTCTTGAACTTCAACTCCCAGAAATCCTGGCCAGCAGAGGTGGTGGTGAAGGCTTCTGGGAATTATAGTCCAAGAACATCTCGAGGCCCAAGGTTGGGGACCACTGTTCTAAAGGACAGGCCGCTTACTTGTGCACAAGGCTCATTTGCTCCTCTGGCCAATATTAGGGTGACAGAACTCAATGAGGCAAAGAGAGATGGTTATACTGTATTTCTTCAAGTGGTCATCTGTGAACTCACACCCATTGGTATTTTGTGCATGCACAAAATGTCTCAGAACCTTCCAGAGCTGATCTGAAATGTTTTGGCTGGGGACTCAGTCCTTCCTAGAATACAATCTGCCCTCTTTGCCTCACAGAGCTCAGTTTTGTTCTGCGATGAAGACAGATGCATCTGAGAAGGAAGGCAACTGGATTGTGTGACCTTACTGATGACCACCCGAAGAAATACAGTTACAAGAAAGCAACCTATCTCTGTGAATGTACACCTATGACCAATTAGAGAGCTTATGAGGTTGATAAGTGTCTCTGTAGGATGGAAGACAACAATTCATTTCCTGTGCATCCAGACAGGATGTCATGTCTAGGTAGTAATGCCTCATGAAGAAGTCTGACTGGCTCCATGTTGCTCCCTTGCAGATATCAAGGACTCCCACATCACTGGTGTGGCAGTTGTCCTAACAGTGCCCCCTGGCAGTATTAAGGAGGTAATACAGGCAAGCGGATAGCAAGGATATATGGTGTCTACTACTCATTTGGCAAGATGTTAAGATGCGACAAAAATGCCCTGCTTCTTAGAGACATAATTGATGAAGAATCTGTTAGACTAACGAAAGGTCTTTGTCCTGTAGATATAGAGCTCTTAGAAAATCCCGTGTGTATGTAAGGAGTGTTCAATAGATGTGTACGGTTTGCTGTAGAGAGTGGGGAGAAAGATGCTCTGTTCCATGTGGAAATCAAAGACTACTCTGGCAAGGAATAAGATGTCTGGGCAGAGAACCAGCTTCTCTTTATGAAAAACAAGGTAAGGGGTGTCAGCACGAAGTGCACAAGGCTCATTTGCTCCTCTGGCCAATATTAGGGTAACAGAACTCAATGAGGCAAATATACTGTATTCTACGAATAGGTACGAATAGATGGGGTTCTGCCAAAATGCTTCAAATTAGCTCTGGGATGTTTTGAGAAGTTCTACACATGCACAGGATAGGCTATAGGTATGTGTTCACAGAGACAACAAAGAAGAAACCAACCTACAACCAATATGCATAGAGAGAATGTGAGAATTCGCGCACTAGTTCCACTTCTCCATCTCTCACCTCATCACCCTCCCCGTGTTCACAGTGAAGTTCTGAAGTATGAATTCCTTTCTACCTACAAAGGCTTTCCACACAAGGTTAAACACTGATTTCTACAAAGAGGCCAAGGAGAACAGGGAGGAAGGAGCAGTGGGGCTACTGTGTTAATTCTTGTTCTTCCTCCTGTTACATTGTTGTCATCAGATTTGCTTTAAAATGGCTACCATGCCTTAGATCACGATTGCCTAGCAAATTCAGCTATTTGGGTGGTCATCTGGGATTCACAGTGGGGACTTTTTAAGAACGAAGAAAAACAGATATCATGTTAATGTTTTCATAATTAATTGGTAGTAGAAGTGCATTGCTAGGAATTTATTGAAATAAGTTCTGCATTTGTGAGCAAACCAATGAGGCTTACGTTTTATTTTATATGTACTGTAGTTCTATTATTTAAAAAATAGCTCTGAGGTTTAAATGACGAATTCAACCCTTACAAGTTCAATCATGCTTTAGAAAAGTATGGAAACAGTACATAGAACATGCTTCCCTTGAGTTCTTTATCATATAAGCAGTAAAAACACTGCACAGTTCTATGCGCTGTGATTGCATACGACTTATTTTTGCCATTATCAGCTAAGAAACACACAGCAGGGAGGGAGAAATCGGGTGAGTCAAAACTGAAACTTTCCCCAGCTTCTCTCCAAAACCTTTCCCTCACAAGAGGCCCCAGCCTAAGCCAGCCAGCCAGCCACTCTAGGTATTGGCCACATCTACCCATTTTTCCATGGGCCATTGCACCGTCCACTCTGAAAACTCTGTTGGCTTAATCACCAATGTACTGAGCATGCTCAAACCTGCAGGGAGTGAAGTTCCTGAGCACACTGACTGTAATGCCAGCTGGCACACCCTGGAAGTGCTGGCAGCAAGTGCAAGAAGAGGTAGATAGCTCCTGGCTCTTCTTAATGACTACAAAATTAAATTGGGATGTGCAAAAGGTTTGGAGGGAAACTGAAGTATATATAGAAAAAGTCTGGAAAAAACAGCTGTTGTGCCTTCTAAAAAAGCTGCAACATTGAACACCTAACATAAACATTCCAATTGCCTCTAGTTTTTAAACTGGTACAGTTTGAAATGCATCTTTCATATGAATTTCCTGAAGACTTTCATCCTTCACAAAGAATATTCTCCCCACCATATTTCATAGCTTGATTTTATAAAGAATAATATTTTAAAATACTCCTTCAAGCTATAGTGCTCCATAATAACATAACTGACAGAGAAAGGTGACTTTTTTTGTACACTAACTTCTAGCCGGCTAGCTGGGGGATTCTAGGATCTATAGTCTAAAAAAAGTAACTTTTCCAAGTTCTAGACCATTTGTAGACCAGTCTTCAAGTTCAAAATTGTAACATTAGTTCCAAACGTAGCCAAGATGATAGTCAACCAGTACAAAACATTCCAATTATTTATAGACTGACTGTGCGTGGAGCGGAGAGGAACAAACACCAAAAGAAATTAGACTTCCTGGAAACAGTTTTCAGCTTCTTGAAAGCTTTGTGTGTGTGTGTGTGTGGGGGGGGGTTTAAGAAAAAAAGAGCTCATCTGGAATTCCAAGGGAAAGAACAGAGAGAATAAGGCAATATCCAACAGGGACAATATATTTTCATCATATAGGTAAAGGTAAAGGTTCCCCTAGACAATTTTTGTCCAGTTGTGGCTTTTTGAAATCTTTGTGGGTGGGTGTGTGGGGGAGGGGTTTAAGAAAAAAAGAGCTCATCTGGAATTCCAAGGGAAAGAATAGAGAGAATAAGGACAATATATTTTCATCATATAGGGGTCGGGAATGTTGGACTTTTAAGTCTGATGTGCATCAAAACAACATAGTTCTGCAATCAACCGCTAAAATGCATCTAGTGAACCCAAAGATAAAACCATAAACGTCACAATACCTTTATCACTTCCATAATAGTAGAAGACTGTTCGACTCAAAGCACACCAACGCTTCTGCCACTCAAAGCCAAGAAAGCTGTGGTCTGCAGTTAATACAATTCACATCAGTGAATTTAGCTATAAGACAATACAGTCATTTAATATTGAATAGAATTGTCTATTCTATTAACAGATAGAATTCTATTAACAGACAAAGCCAAGAAAGCTGTGGTCTGCAGTTAATACAATTCACATCAGTGAACTTTAGCTATAAGACAATACAGTCATATAATATTGAATAGAATTGTCTGATATGATACATTAGAAACAGAATATTAAAAAGGGACAAAATACCGAGTAATATTAAAAAAGCTATCAGTTATTTTATATTTTTATTTTGAACTATTGTAGATTTGTCTGAAACACTAAATGTTTAAATAGAAACAGAATATTAAAAAGGGACAAAATACGGAGTAATATTAAAAAAGCTATCAGACAGTTATTTTATATTTTTATTTTGAACCATTGTAGATTTGTCTGAAACACTAAATGTTTAAAATATATAAATGCAATTTAAAAACTCTTCTTAATGTACAATAGTGCAGCGCAGGTGTGAAGGCAAATATTATCTATCTAGAATTTCTCCCTTTTCCTTGAAGCATTGGAACGTGATCAAAGCAAGTGAATGGTCAATAGATATGTAACAAGAAGTCAACTGTGGGAAATTTCCCAAAGTCTACCAGGTATAAACTATTCTGAAATTGTTTGCCAGTCCCCTTTTTCAGGACAGAAAATAAGTTTGGTGCTTTGTTTTGTTTCACCAAAAGGGAAACATGAAACCAAACCACAAACTAAACCATGAGCCAGTCCAGTTTGTTGATTTTTTTGGTTTGTAGTTTGGATCATGCCTATCTCTGTATAGTTCTCAAAATGTCACCAAATTCTGTCTCTATGGATAGCTTTTCCAGTATACTCAATTGTGATCGGGTTCTTTCCAGCATTGTAAAAAAAAGGAAGTGCATCACCTCTCAGTCAAAGCCTTCCGATTTTACCATTTCTGTTGCTGGAAATTTTTACCATTACTCATTCCAAGCAAATATTTTTTTAAAAAAAACCCAAATACATGGGGCTATCCAGGTCAGTTTACCTTTTCTGCGTTTTTCCAGATATCCAGACTTTACAACACACTGAAGGTCTTGGGCTGCAACAGGAAGCAACTGGTTCCCTGGAAAATAATTCAACAGTGAATGCATTGGTTTTCTGAAACGTTAAGTAAACAATTTTTTCAAAGTGTAACAATGAAAGATGACAGTATACTCTGTATATTTGAACATGCCGATGGATTACAATTTCAATCCAGATTTGTTAAATATGTCAAACTTCCGTTGATGTCAGTCTCCTCATGTGCTCACAAGCACGAAAGAGCTCTTTGGACATTCAGCAGAATGTGAAACATCCATCAGATAGGCAAGACAGCCTGCTTCAGGATTAAAACAAATGAGGCAAACAGAACATTGCAGGCCAGGATGCTTCTTCTTAGCGCTCCAGCCAGCCATTCCCCTTGCCACAATACTCCATGTCGTTTCCTGTCCCTAGGTTCTCCTTCTCAACATTCGGTATGCTGTGACCACTGAGCATGTGCAGTAGTTATTGGGTTGTTTTGTCTATCCTCCCTTAAAGACTTCTTACTGCAACCCACCTCCACAAATATATTAAAATCTGGTGCCACATCTTCTACATGTGCAACCCAGAACTGGTGTGAACAAGAAATCTGATTTCTTCCATTTTTTTAGAATGATTTGGCATTTTCCTTTCAGAGATCATGTTCAAAAATCTCGTATCAAGTGTGTTCACTCACATTATAATTGTTATTTTTTAAATTAACAGATAGAAACAGTTTATTAACATCAGCACATTTAAGAAAACGTTTATTTCATCCCAACAACCTGTGTAATATCAACTGCACCTTAAGATTTTAGTCACTTGTCTTTCTTTTATGTTGTTGCTATATGTCACAAAACCACTTCAAATGCAAGGTGACTATGAATCAGTGACCTTCAAAAGGTTCTATTTTTAGGACACCTTGCAAATTATGTTACTAAGTCAATCCATCTTGCGGTGCAATCAGATGAGCATTTAGGCTGCTGTTTACTCCATTGTGGGGGAGACTGGCTCATTTCTTTTCCTAGTGATGTAATCACTGAAGTGAATAACCCCTTCCCCAAAGGATTCCTACCTATACTTTTCTGGGTCCCTGTGGGCTTGTCTACATGGGATAAGAGCAGAGACTCTATTAGGGCAGTGCAGATATACTGCATCACTTATTAAAATTTTGTAAAAAATGAAAATTTCCTCCTAGAGGAAACAAGAGGCAGGAACAAAGGGAACTTTTTTCCTCTGTCCTTTGAATTGTCTTAAAGGTCTGGTCAACAACCTGACCACAGCCAAATCCATCACCAGCTGTACTTAGAGGTGGATTTGGGAGTGGGTAGGTTTTCAATGGGACTTTTAAAATAAGCATGCTGGACCTCCACCTGACACGAAGCAAGCCTATTTGACCCACAACAGTCCTCTCCAAAATAGCCTGTGTAGAGCTAAGCCCTCATACTTGTTCTCTTACTACAGTGGGGTCTTGACTTGAGAACTTAATTCGTATTGGAAGGCGGTTCTCAAGTCAAAAAGTTCTCAAGTCAAATCTGCATTTCCCATAGGAATGCATTGAAAACCATTTGATCCGTATCTGCTCTTTTCCGTCCATAGAAACTAATGGGAAGCTGCTATTCTGCCTTCGACCACTAGAGAGGGGATATTTTGTTTCTTTTTTTTCTTAGGTCAAGAAAGGTTCAGGGAAGGCAGGGAAAATACAGTCCAGGCAGTACAGTACCAGGCAGTCCGAAGACTGTCTCCCAATCCACTCTCTAAACGCTGGGAGGAGTGAGGAAGCAGACAGGCACCCTTTTCACTGGCCAACAGTTAACTGAAAGTTCAAATTTTGCACTTTCCCTGCCTCCCACGTGGTTTTTTTTTCAGTTCTTAACTCAAATCTAAGTACTTAAGTCAAGTCAATATTTTCCTGTGAGAGCGGTTCTTAAGTCAAAATGTTCTTAACTCGAGCCGTTCTTAAGTCAAGACCCCACTGTACTGCTTTCCCCTTTTCCAGCACTATAGACACTTCCTGTGACTCTTGTCTTCTTATGATAGATCTCAAGTGAGAATATCAGTTTAATCATTTTAAACCTTAGTGAGAGTTCAAGATTGATTTAATCTAGAACCTGCTCTCTGACGAGTCCATGGTATCCACAAAGCTCTCCTCCAACAATACTGTATTTTTCCATCTATAAGTCGCTACTTTTTCCTAAAACAGTTAGACTAAAAATTGAGGGTCGTCTTATACACGTAAGCAAGCCAAGGAGAAAAGCGCATGGTTGTGAAACTGCCAATGTCTCTGCAAACCGTCTGCCTCCAGTCGTGAGTGAAACTGCCCGTAGCTTGTCTCTGCAAACAGGCTTCCTCCAATCAAAAGGCTTATGTAAATAATGTAAGCTGATGCAGAGGAGAGCATGTAGGCAGTGCGACAGTGACTTGTAATGTCGGAGCACTCTGAGCCTATAAAGATGTCAGAAAATAATTTTTTAAAAAAAACCCGAATGTCTTACTCTGCAAAATTCAAACTGAATGTAATCAGTTATGCAAATGATCATGGAAACAGAGCTGCAGAGACATAGTTTGGACCTCCTTCCAATGAGTGTATGATCAGAGAGTGGAGGAAACAGGAAGAACGACTCCCTAAGATGCCAAAAAAGAAAAAAAAAGCCTTAAGAGGAAAATCAGCAAAATGGCCAAAGTTGGAGCAGAGGCTCAAGACTTGGATTTTGGAGCAATGCCAGAGTGGGATATCTGTATCAACCAAGCTTATTCAACATCAGGAAAGAATGTTTGCAAGTGAAATGAAGATTGTTGATTTTACAGGAAAAGCAAAATGGTTCTTTAATTTCCTGAGCAAAAAGTGTGCTGCTTATATACTGCCCCATAGTGCTTCAAGCACTCTCTAGGCGGTTTACAAATTAATTATGCAGGCTACACATTGCCCCCCCCCAGCGGGCTGGGTACTCATTTTACCGACCTCAGAAGGATGGAAGGCTGAGTCAACCTTGAGCCGGCTACCTGGGAATTGAACCCCAGGTCATGAGCACAGTTTTGGCTGCAGCACAGCAGTTTAACCACTGCACCATGAGGCTCAGTGAGGAGAGAAGGGTTGGCATGAGAGCATGAACAAAGTTAGCACAGAAAATGCCACCTGTTTACGAGGATAAAATCCAACAGTTTCACTCCTATGTCATACAACTTTGGAGAAAAATATGATTTTAAACCAAGTGAGATTGCAAACATGGATAAGGTGCCTCTCAATGTTGATGTGCCTTCCAACAGAACTGTTGATGTGAAACGAATCAAAACAGTGGCAATCAAAACAAGTGGCCATGAAAAGACATACTATACTGCTGTGCTTTCATGCTGTGCAGATGGTACTAAATTGCCTTCTGTGCTTATTTTTAAGAGAAAAACGTATCCTAAAGAGACCATACCACGTGGCATTGTTATGCAAATTCATGAGAAGAGATGGATGAATGAAGACATCATGGCCATTTGGTTTGCAAAGGTTTGGTCCAGAAGACCTGGAGGGCTCTTAAAGAAGCCGGCTCTACTTGTCTTAGATCAGTTCTGAGCACATTTAATAGAAAAGACAAAAAGAGCTGCATCGGATTTGTGAACATATTAGCAGTTATTCCTGGTGGACTTACAGGTCAGCTACAGCCACTAGATGTTTCAAACAACAAGCCATTTAAAGCCCTGATGAGAGATGTATGGAATAGATGGATTCAAAAAGGAGGTGGTACCTTGACACTGACAGGAAGAGTGCAAAAACCAACCATTACTGAGGTTAGCAATTGAGTTTTTAACTCATGGTATGGCGTCAAAAAGAGGTGATTGTGAAGTCCTTCAAAAATGTGGAATCAGGATGCCATGGATGGAACTGAGGATGATATCACATATATAGTGACTCAATAAACAGCAATGATGCAAAGTTGAAGAAGCTGGTATGTTCGAAACTAATAGTGATGAAGATGAAAGCAGTGATGCAACAGAGGCTGAATGAAGTGATTTGCTCATCTAAGGGTGATGCATAATACCATAGAACTGGCATGTAAATGTTGCCTAATTACTACATAAAAATGTGTTCTTTTCTAATGTTTAAATATTGATTTCTGAATTCTGGGTTAGAAATTCTGGGGGGCATCTTATGCATAAAAAAATTAATGAATCATCATTTTTTTCCTTGTCAGCTTTCTTAATCACCTAGCATTTGGGTCCATACTGTGGTACTGTATTTGCCGGCGTATAAGACGACTGGGTGTATAAGACGACCCCCCCCCAACATTTCCACTCAAAATATAGAGTTTGTTATATACTCGCCGTATAAGACTACCTCCTCTTCCGCACACCTTCCACACACCAAATAAAAGGTGCTATTCATTGTCACCACTGTACGGCCGCAGTGCGACCGCAGCGCCTCCGGCCCGCCCCTGCATCTCCCTGTGACCGGCACTAGTGCACAAGTGCGCATGTGTGAGCTCTGCGTAGACAAGGGACAGGACGGAGCGCCACTACTTCCCACCGAGCAGAACGGGCCGGTCACGTCGAAAAGGCTGGTACCCCTGTCTCGCTGCTGATGCTCGCCGCAGCTGCGCTGGATACCGCGTGATACTGGACGGTATGTAGAATGAGGTGGGCAGGCATCGGGAGCCTACTATGGGCACCGGGCGAGCATCGGAAGGCCACTATGGGCAGCTATGTCTATCCCAAGATGCACCCAGCGTATAAAATGACACACACCCCCACTTGGAGGCATGCTTTTCAGGGCAAAAAAGTAGTCTTATATGCCAGCAAATACAGTATATTGTGGGAATATCACAGTATGGACGATCTTGACATTGGTCTTCCTTGACACATTCTTACATTTAAGTACAGTGGTGCCTCGAACTTTTTGACTTATGAACACCATTCCAGAACGGATTAAGTTTGCAAGCCAAAGCACCACTGTAGTATAGGTATTTTCCCCACAGTTAAGTTACTTATTTTGTATCTGCAACTCCTAAAATGCCACAATGATAAGGTACCTTTTATCCCCAGCTATTCTGGGAGCGGAAGATACAAAATATGTAACTC